CGTTATTTCCTTTGTTTCTTAAATTCCACACATGAGTGAAATCATATGGTATTTGTCTTTCTCTATTTCGCTTAGCATAATACTCTCTAGCTCCATTCCATTGTCTACACACCACATTTTTATCCCTTTGTCTGCCGACGGACACTTGGGCTACTGCCTTAATTTGGCTATTATAAATAATGCTGCAGTCATCATAGGGCTGCATCTATCCTTTTGAATTGTTTTCAGATTCTTTGGATAAGCATCCAGCGGTGCAATTGCTGGATGATAGGGTAGTTCTATATTTGACGTCTTGAGAAACCTCCATACTATTTTCCACTGTGGCTGTGCCAGTTTACATTCCCACCAAAAGTGTGCGAGGGCTCCCCTTTCCGCTCATCCTCGGCAGCACCTGCTGTTTCATCCACGGATTATTGGTGCACTCCCCTGCTGTGGGCATTTGGCTTGTTTCTGAGTGTTTGCTCTCTTGGACAGTGCTGTGCCTGTGTCCATGCATGTACGTGTAGGTATGCCTCTGGGGGGTGGGTAGGGCCCCTCGCTCTCTTCTACAAATCATCCACGTGCTCATCCCTACCCTCTTCCACCCAAGCGACACCCACTGACTTTCTCCGGAAACTCACCCAACCGACAGCAGCACAGAGTCCGTCTCCAGGGCCAGAAAACTGCACAGGCTGTGGGACAAGTCTGCAAGACAGAATCAGTCACAGCAGCCACCCGCGTGGCCTCCGAGGATGCCAGCACCGCCACGCAAGGCCCAGCGCGGTTCACCTGGCCCCCAGGGACAGCCAGCCAGCAGTGGTGGCTTTGGGTGTAACATTCTCTTTCTGTTCCTATTCCTACTTCCTCTGCAGGGACTCCAGCTGGCTCTGCTAGGGCAAAACCAAAAAGCCAGGCAATGTGAGACACCTGACATCTGCTGTGGCTTCCTAAATGTCGGGGCTCGGATGCACCCCACGGCTCACCAGCTGCAACCTTTTCGTTCACATTGGGGGGAAAACTGAGGACAAGGAAGGCTTGGTGGGTTGAAACTGACAAAACCAAGACCAGGGAGGGCAGGTATGCCTGCGCCAGAATATTGAATGTAATTTCACAAGCATGCACACAGATATATGGTATTAAGAAGTATGTGAGAGTTGCATGGACCCTTTTTATTATTTTTTAATTTTATTACGTTTTATTCCTTTTTTTTTTTTTTTTGAGAGACAAAGAGAGCTAGAGCACAAGCAAGGGAGGGGGAGAGAGAGGGAGACACAGAGTCAGAAGCAGGCTCCAGGCTCTGAGCTGTCAGCACAGAGCCCAATGCGGGACTCGAACCCACAAACTGTGTGATCATGACCTGAGCCAAAGTCAGACGCTTCACAGACGGAGCCACCCAGACGCCCCATGGGCCATTTCTATTAGCCCAGGGGTAGGTGCCTCTGAGGCTCTCAGACAAGTCCGTTATCAACAGTCTGTTGGCCATCCTGGCACAGCGCCAGACAGAATCTGTAGCAAAGAAGCCTCTAATTCAGTGGTTGCTAACCTCGGTTGTACGTAGAAGTTCCGGGGAGTTTTTCCAAGTCCCGGTGCCCAGACTGAGCCAGGACTTGGAAATTTAAAGGGATGATGTCAGGAATGGAGACAGGGGCATAGAACTCGAAGGCACAGGGCTTCTGGTAAGACGTTCAGGGAGGCCTCTCCGGGGAGGGACGTTCGAGTTCAGACTGGAAGAACGAGTAAGGGCCCACCAGTCCTGCAAAGTCAGGAGGAGAGGCCGCCAGCAAAGCGCGTGCAAAGATTCAGGGAGGGGAGGAGCCAGGAGGACCCGGTCTGCAGGGTGGCTGGAGCACAGTGAGCCGCTTTGGGAGGAGGGAGACCCCGTGCACCTGGCTGCAAAGGGGGCAGGACCTCCAAGGCTGTGAGGCCTCGAGGGCTCAGTTCCATCTAGGGGCATCCGTGAGCCGCAAGAAGTGGTTCGCCCAGGAACACAAGCTCTGACTGGTAGTTTTACAAGCTCTCTCTGGCTGCCACGGAAGGGATGCACTGAGGGGTGACGGGAGAGGTGGGGAGGGTGCATGTGGGCTGTGAGGGTCAAGGGCACAGGGAAGGGAAGATGGCGTCCTGGATCATGGTGGTGTAGCAGAGCCAGGGAGAGGTGTGTGGGTTTGGGGTGTACTGCGGGTGGAAAACAGAGGGACCGGCCAATGCCGTACGTGGTGAGGGTGGATGCAGCCCACACCCCAGTGTCGTGAGAGCCTCATGGAGACACAGCACTAGCCTCACCTTGACCAACACCATCAGAGTACAGAAAAGAACACTTCTTGTTTAGTTGAGCACCACCTGCTCACTTGAGCTCAAAGCACCCAGTCTGGGCTCTCCAACCTCTGGGGCGCCTGGGTGGCTCAGTCAGTTAAGCATCTGAGTCTAGGTTTTCGCTCAGGACATGGCCTCACTGTTCGTGTTCAAGCCTCGTATCAGGCTCTGTGCTAACAGTGCATAGCCTGTTTCAGACTCTCTCTCTCCTCTCTCTCTGCCCCTCCCCTGCACACACACTCTCTCTCAAAATAAACAAACTTTTTCTTTAAGTCTGCAAACGCTGATTCCTTTGAGTTACTCTAAAAAGATTCTCATGTGGAGGGCTGGCCAAATTGTACACACAGATGAAGCTCTTCCTTTACAAAGACACAGGGAAGCACCTTACCCAGGCTCCCCACTATCCCGCCTCCTCCGTGGAAGAAGATGATGCCTCGCCGGGGGCTGGAGGACTCTGCCTTGGGTTGGAACAGCCTCACAGGGATGGTCCCAAAATACAGGTCAACCGCTATAACTCTAGCATCCGTTTTGGTTCTCACAAAGCCCTGCAGAAACTGGAGAAATCTGGGCATGGAGCAGATTCCCAGCCTCTCAAATATATGCCCCTGTCAGGGGTAAGAGAAAGAAAGAGAGACGTTAGGAGCAGTCAGGTCCCATCTGGATCGTTGATGATTCCTGACACCTGTAATTACTGGGATGTTTTTGCAGCTTTTCATCTGTCTCATCTGGATACGGCTCGTCAGGAAGGACAGGCACAATCTGGATTGTGTCCAGATAGACGGTTAGGTTTTAGAATTTCCTCCCAAACGATCTTGGTTCAAGAATGGTATGAATTTGCCAAAGAGCTTGACTGTGTTTGAGCTGAGTGGTTGGGCACTGAATTGAACAGCACCGATTGTTCAAAGGCCGGCAACCCTCCTCTTTGGCTCTCCAGCCTCAGAGGGCAAAAAGGGTCATCCCTGGGGTCAACACCCATCATTGCCCACCAGGAGCCTGTGCTATGATGGATTCATAAGCCATGTTTGTGTTCAACAAAAGAAAGGAATGGGATTAGGGATGCCTGTGGTTGATCAGGAGAAGGGTTCAATGGCACAGGGCCATTTATTTGCCGAATGTGTCTAAAATTCCAAAGTTTTTAAACTACTAGAGTCACTCCAGCTATAAACAAACTTAAGTGTCTGAATAAAGCATGAAATATAGTTACAAAGTTATCATGTTGCACGTCCTAAATGCCTTTCAGCCATTGGGATCATCTCTTCCATGGACCTCACATTAAGTGTGTGTCCTTGTCACCAGGGAAGTACTTGACTTACGAATCACCTACAGCATGCCAGTAGTGGTCCGAGTGGATATGAACTGGATTAAACGTCTCAGGGACGCTTCTAAGTCAAGCAGAGTTATCTTTTTGCAGATGGGGGTGCCGAGGCAAACCAAGGTCAAGTGCCTTGCCTGCCAAGGAGTAAGATGCAGAACATGTGTTCTCAACCCCTAAACCAGAAGGAGCTCAGACTCTGGAGTCAGGAAGATCTGAACTCAAGTTGTAGCTTATCACCAACTAACTGAATGGCCTTGGGTATTAGCATCTCTGAGCTTTGATTTGCTTCCTTTGTAAAACAGAATGGGGTCCGCAGCCCAAGGATGAGGCTTGGGGATTAGATGTGACCACTCGTGTAGAGTGTCTCACTGGGTGGGTGCTGGCAAGTGTGATCCCCACCCCTCTCCTGCTCACACCCATCGGGTCTAGTCCCAGGTCCCCCGAGAAGCCCCAGTGCATTCCTTCCGTGGACACACCCAACGCTTTGATTTCTCCAAAGAGAACTCCAAACAAAACCTCTATTTCCCTGCTTGAGCTGGAGGAGGGTCAGGTGAGCAACAAGGTGGAGATGGCCTGCTTGGCCCACATCTAAGGGCACCAGACCTCTGTACTGAGCCAGCTGGGACCTTCACTGGCCCGCTCAGCTCTGAGAGCCCCGACGTCAAGATGTCTCCTGTCGGCTCAGGTGGCCTCCAGCGCTCACCTCCTCCGTCGCAGTTTCCTCAAGCTCTGTGTACTCACCCGTGGCCCTCACTATTTCCTGTAAGCCTTTCTACATGCCTAGCAGGGGGAAGGACACCAAACAGACTTTCATCTCCAAGCCCCAGGCAATGTTCTCATTGACGGACACCATCCCTGACCTGTATCTTCCTGCTCACAGCAATGGCTGCTGCCTCCTTGAGGCCCTAAGTACCCTGCCCTGATTTCTTCAAAACCCCTTGAGGCTTTGTTACGTGGATGTGGCCACCTGTGTGCCTTCCTCCACTAAACATCAGTATCTTCATCATGACACACTATGATGGGCAGTGTGTCCTGGGGCCCCCAGCCAGCGCTGGAGGAACCAGGATGCAAGATGACAAGCAATGCTCCCCCTTCAGGGCTGTGAAACTGGACAAGGAAACCCCTGGGAAGAGGGAGGGGGAGTCCTCGCGTGGTGCAGGTCGTGAATTGGAGACCAGGGGGAAGACTTACATCACCTTCTGGGCAGAAGAAGCCTGCTGTCCTCCTACAACAGAAGGAAGGAAGGAACTTCTCCTTTGCCAGCAGCAAGCTCAGCCAAAGAGAAGATACCACAACTCAGGGGATGAGAAACCGCCCCTCCCTGACCTCAGGCTTTCCTCCCATGGACTTTCATTCAAAGCAGACCCTCCCACCTCCCTCCACTTCTCCCTAAAGAAGGAACTTCTCTCCTTTGAACCCTGGACTCCCAGGTGGTTTGCCATAAGTTGCTTGTCTCCAGTTGCAATTCCTCTACTCTTCCTGAATAAGCCCACCTTGCTGGCAAAATTACAGGCTGTGTGTCTTGTGAGGCCCTTCAGCGTGCCTCCTGTGCTGTGCCCCAGAGCCAGGGTCATCAGCACGTGCCTGCCGCTCGTGGGCTACTCTCCGAGGGTAAAGAAGGTCTGAAAGGCCTTGTTCTTCTGGTTCTCAAACTGGCCCATGATTCCATGCAATAACAGCCACTGGTTTGGACAGGCAGACCTCTGGCGAAGTTCATGGCCAGGCAAAGTAAGAGACGTGAGAGTGTTGCACCCTCAGCCTGTCTCCTTGAATCAGTCACATTTCTGTAAATATCAGCTAGACATGCTCATGTCTCTGAGAGGCATCCACATCTACGGTGGAACATTCTAGAAACACAGAAACATATTTTATTTCTTTACCAAACATAGGAAGCCCTTATCATGTGTCATCTAATTCTTTTGCCAACCAGATGGGATGGACACTATTGTTTCCCTTTCACAGACAAGAAACTGGACACAGAGAGGTCACGTGCATCGCCCAAGATTGCACAGCCAGAGCTGGGATGCACACGCTGGCGGGCTGGCTGCCGTCTGGGCTCCTTACCTTTCACTCTGCTGTCAGCTAAGCGAGGCCTTCTGTCTTCCTCCTTCCACAGTTGCCCTCCGTCCCCACGGGGAAGGAGTATGAATTACGGGGCTGCTCACACCCAGGGACTGGAACATTGAGTTCCAGGAATATTGCCTGCTTCCTGTGAGATGCCAAACCTTTGTTTGCAAACTTGCTGCAGGCTCTAAACATGTGGCGTCCTATCCGCAGCCACAGTCCCTGCTCAGGGCCCGGCCAGCTCGGCCCCTCTGGCACGCTGCATAGATTCACCAATGTTTCAATCAGCAAACGGAAAGCACCTGCCAGATAGCAGGTCTGTGCCTGTGGCCATCGTTGCAAAGGTGGGTAAGGCAGTGCCTGCTTCCAGGTGCCTACGCACTATTCAGGGGAGACGAGTGCACAGAGGTGAAAAGAGGCTGTGGCTGAAGGCGGTTTGGTTCCCTGTCAGGCTGAAAACCCTTTGGAAGAAGGCGCTGGGTGTGAAATCTTTTTAGAATCCTCAGAAAGCAGCCAGGTGACTGGTGCTCAGTATGTGTTGGAAGGAAGAAAAGGAGGGAGGGCGGGAGAGAGGAAGGGGAGGGAAGAGGCAGGGACACAGAGCTGCAGACACAAAGGAGAGTGTGGCAAAATACGTCTTGGGGGGAGTGAAGAGGAAAGGGGGGGCAGGTTATGGGGGAGACGAAGGGAGCCCAAACCCATCACATAGCCCGAGAGCAAACTCACCAAAGTGTACCCGTACAGGAACAGGCAATGCAGAAATCTGAGCTTGGCGGGATGTTGCAAGGTCGAGGGCACGTCTGCGGTAAGGAAGTGCTGGAAGACGGTCCAGACAAAGACTCTGACAAAAAAGGCGGACGAGAGCGCCAGGCACAGGAGGAGCATGTTCCTGAGCTGGTCAGAGCTGCTGCCCTGAAGAGAGGAGCTTGGAAACTTGTTAGGAGAACGTGGACTGGCTACACCATCTCTCTCTCTGCTCTCACTTATTTTGGTCTTTGCCGAGATTCAGTGGCCTGACCTGTTTCTACAGGGTCAGTGGGAGCTGGAGGGACTGGCTCCCTGAGCAATGCAAGCACCTGGAAAATCAGTCTTGCCCAGGACCCCTAAGGGAAAAGCCTCACATGGTTGCGCAGGCCTCTGTGGCCTCATCCTTCCATTGTAGAATTGGCCAGCTTTCCTCACCATTGCATGGTTAGGCTGGGAAAGCACGTCTCATGCCAGGTCCCTGTCCCGGCCCTACTCGGGTCAAGGCTGTGGGGAAACTTGGCATAGCCGAGGGTCAGGAACATTTACTTGGATCCCAGCCTGCCTGGGTTTGAATCCTGCCGTTTCAGCGTACTGACTCTGTGTCTGTGGATAACTTATCTCTGTTCTCTGCATCTCAGTGCCAAGGAGATAGGGGCGCCTGGGTGGCTCAGCCAGTTAAGCAGCCGACTTCAGTCTAGGTCTTGATCTCGTCTTTCCTGAGTTCGAGCACTGGAGCCTGGAGCCTGTTTCAGATTCTGTGTCTCCCCCTCTCTCTGTACTGCTCCCTTGTCCATGCCCTCTCTCTCTAAAAATGAATATACATAAAAAAATTAAAAACAAATAAAAGAAGGAGAGAGACAGCTGAGGAATTGGGGATAGCTCGGCAAAGAACAAGAGTGTGCAAATATCCTTTTTCGAGCAAAGCTTACTTAGCTATTATAAATAAATGTATGCAGACAAATGCATGTGGAAAACTGCATAAATCATTGAGAATACAGCTCGAAGGATTTTTGTAGTCAACACACCCAACACCAGCCCCCAAACCAGGATACGGTATGTCTCTAGCAACCAGGAGGCCCCTTCTCCCCATCACCACCGCCCTCTGCCCATCACTACGCCCTTGAAGGCAAACACTCCCCTTCCTTTAGCAGCCCCCACACACGTGGCTGGTTTCTGACTTCTCTGTAAATGGAATCACGCAGAGGATTCCCCTATGTCTGGCTTCTTTTGCTCAGCATTGTGTGGATGTCTCTTGCACATCGTGTAGATGTGTTCCCCGTCTCCTTCCTGTATAGCATCACAGAATGAATACAGCACAACTTTTTCTTCTTTCTGCTGCTGACTGACATCTGAGTTTTTGCCAGGCATCAGTTACTGCCTCTGAGCCGCAAACTGGCCGTTCTTGCCCTGCTTTGTAAAACTGGAGCTGGAACTTTGAGTATTTTTTGTCTGTCCATCGCACCAAGGCATTGTCTGGGCAGGGTCCCGGAGAGACTTCTGCGGAGAGGGCTCTGCTCCCTGGTTCCGCGAGCCCACACAGCAGGCTCCTGCAGCACACATGGCTTTGCGGCACCCAGCTTCTGCAGTGTGCGAAGCAGACGAACATAAGGAATTACTAACTATCATAGCATAGAGGAATCACAAGAGATCAGCTAGCAGGAAGGACAGAGAGCTCAAAAATGTACACGAATTACAGATACAGGAAACACCTGTTACCTCCAGGGCCGAGCTAGCGCACCTCCCACCTCTGAGGACCGAGGTCTAGAGCTCATTGGAGAGGCACGGCGTGCCGCGCTGAGTTGGCAAAGAGGTCTCCCTGTTGCTGTACCAGTGGGACCTGCCGGCGTCCCTCCTTGCCCCGCCACCCCAAAACTTTGCTGACCATCTTCCCCTGTGGGTGCTAAGGAAAGCCATTCGTTCGCAGGGTGGTGTCTTGCTGGAGGCCCTCTGAAATGAAACTACCCCAGGGGGCTGCAGAGGGAAAGCTACTGCAGGAGCCGGTGTGAGACCAGTTACGGAACCCACACGCACCGCGGGATCAGAGGACTGGAGGAGCCACCGCCGGCACTGGAGCCCAGCCTGCAGTAGCGTGTGGAGTAATTGGTGCCCCAGGCTGCTGTTGAAAGCAATAGTCACTAGCTGGCAATAAACAGAGGCTGAGAGCTAGGTGGTGCCAATAGAGGCAGATAGCTTAACAGAGAGATCAGCGAAAGTCAAAGAGAGCTCTAACGCAGTGTCATCCCAGGCTGATTGGTACCCTGCTCGAGACTGCACCCCCTGAGGAGTGACGTCAGAAGTTGCACACTGAAGGGCGCCTAGGTCCTCGGCGGGTTAAGCGTCAGACTTTGGCTCAGGTCAATATGTCACGGTTTGTGAGTTCTAGGCTTGTTGGGCTCTACACTGTCGGTGTGGAGCCTGTTTGGGAGTCTGTCTCTCCCTCTCTCTCTCCTCTCCCCACTCTTTCTTTCTCGCTCTCAAAATAAAAAAAAAAAGAAAGAAAGAAACTGCAGATTGAGGGAAACAGACTTTCCTGAAATAGTTCATTCAAGTCACTAAACAAACAAGCAGACAACATGAGCAAAAGCCTCAGAGAGGAATGTTAGGGGAACCTGTCGTTACTACAGTATAATACCTAAGTTTTCAACATCAACAAAAAATGAGACATTTTAAGAAACGGGGAAAGCTGATCCATACAGAAGAAAAAACAATGAACGCTGGAGTACACGTGCCCCTGTGCATCAGCACTCCTGTATCCCTTGGGTAAATTCCTAGCAGTGCTATTGCTGGGTCATAGGGGAGTTCTATTGCTATTTTTTTGAAGAACCTTCACACTGTTTTCCAGAGCGGCTGCACCAGTTTACATTCCCACCAACAGTGTAAGAGGGTGCCTGTTTCTCCACATCCTCGCCAGCATCTGTAGTCTCTTGATTTGTTCATTTTAACCATCTGACTGGCATGAGATGTATCTCAGTGTGGTTTTGATCTGCATTTCCCTGATGATGTGTGACGTTGAGCATTATTTCATGTATCTTATGACCATCTGGATGTCCTCTTTGGAGAAGTGTCTGTTCATGTCTTCTGCCCATTTCTTCACGGATTATATGTTTTTCGGGTATGGAGTTTGGTGAGTTCATTATAGATTTTGAATACTACCCCTTTACCCAATATGTCATTTGCAACTATCTTTTCCCATTCCTTTGGTTGCCTGTTAGCTTTGTTGATTGTTTCCTTTGCAGTGCAGAAGATTTTTATCTTGATGAGGCCCAAATAGTTCATTTTTGCTTTTGATTCCTTTGTCTTGGAGACACGTTGAGGAAGAAATTGCTGCAGGTGAGGTCAAGGAGGTTGTTTCTTGCTTTCTCCTCTAGGGGGACAGGGGAAAATGGGTGATGGGCATGGAGGAGGGCACATGTTGGGATGAGCCCTGGGTGTTATATGGAGACCAATTTGACAATAAATGATATTTTAGGAAGAGGAAGAGGGAGAAGGAGAAGGAAAGGGAGAAGGAGAAGAAAGAGGAGGAGAAGGAGAAGAAGAAAAAGAAGCAAAAACACAGGCAACAGAAACTTCCTTTGAGAACACCCAGATATCTTAACAAAGACTTCAAAGCAGCTATCATACATATGTTCAAAGAGCTAAAGAATATCACACTTAAGGAAGTAAAAAAAAGGTACAGTGACAATATTTTCTATAGAGAATACCAACAAAGACATACGAATTATATTTTTTAAAAAACCAAACTAAGATTATGGAATTGGAAAGAACAATAACCAAAATGAAATATTCACTGGAAGGGCTTAACATAGACCTGAGCTGGCAGAAGATATAATCTGCTAACTTGTAGGCAGATTGATAGAGGTTACATAATCAGAAGAACAGAGGGAAAACAAATGAAGAAAAATGGAAAGAGCCTTCGAGAAAAATGGGACATCGTTAGGCATGCTGATGTACGTATCACGAGGGTACAAAGAGAGAAGAGAGGAAAAGGAACCCAAAATCCAAAACGCATTCAAGAAAAAAAAAAAAAACAGAAAACAAAAATATCTAAAGAAATAATGGCTGAAAAACCTTCTAAAGTCAATGTAAAACGTTATCCAAGAAGCCCCAATGAACTCCAGGTGTGATCTATAAAGAGAGATAACTTCACTGGGATATTCTATCAAACACTTAAAGAAGAATTAATGCCCATGAGAGAACACTTCCCAAATCATCCTATGAATTCAGTATTACTCTGATGTCAAAGACAAAGACAACGAAAGAAAATAAAACCACAGACCAATATCCCTTATGAATATATGTACACAGATCCTCAACAAAATGCTAGTACACTGAACCCAGCAACATAGAAAAAGGGTGAATTACCAAGTGGGATTTATTCCAGTAAAGTAAAGTTGGTTTAACTCAATTGGTGACACTCAATTACTACAATATACCGTATCAAGAGAATACAGGACAAAAACCACATGAGCATCTCAGTAGATGCTGAAAAAGCACTTAACAAAATCCAAAACCCATTCAAGATTAAAAAAAAAAAACAAACCCAGAAAACAAAAGAACAACAACACTCCAAAAAATAAAAGATAGAAAAGAACTTCCTGGTTAAGGACATTGATGAAAAAACCATGCCTAACATTACACTTAACAGTGTGTATTCATTTCCATCGCTGCTGTAACAAATTATCACAAATTTAGTGGCTTAACCAAGGCATGCTTATTATACAGTTCTGGAGGTCAGAAGTCCAACATGGACCTCACTGGGCTAAAATCAGTGTGTCAGTGGGGCTGTATGCATTCTGGATGCTCTAGAGATGCATCTGGTTCCTTGCCTTTCCCAGCTTCTAGAGACATCCCACATCCCTTGGCTCACAACCCTCTTCTTCCATCTTCAAAGCCAAAAAACACTGAGCAAAGTGCATTTCACAACTACCTTCTCTCTGGTTCTCCCTCCTCTGCTTCTCCCTTCTACTTTAAGGGTGCTTGCAATTAAATTTGGCTCACCAGATATTCTAGGATAATCTCCCTGTTCTATACTGACTAGCAATCTGCAACCTTAATTCTCTTTTGCCATGCAAGGTATACTTTTGCAGGTTCTAGGAGTAGGATATGAACATCTTGGCGGGGGAGGGAGGGCACTATTATTCTGCCTGCCATGGTAAGAGTCAGAATGCGTTCCCTTTAAGACCAGGCACAGGACAAGGAAGTCCATTCTCACCATTTCTCTTCAACATTGTACTGGAGGTTCTAGTCAGGGCAATTAGGCAAAAGCAAACAAAAACAAATAGTTAGAGAGACAGAGACAAAGACATGGAGATGGATGGATAGACTGATAGATACATGGCATCTGAATCGAAAAGGAGGAGGCAAAGCTATTTCTATTTGCTGATGACATCATCTTGTGTATAAAAAAACCCCCACAACATTCCAAAAAAGACTATCAGAGCTAATACATGAATTCAGCAAGCTGGCACAGTATAAGACATAAAGTATATTTCTAGCCTCCAGTAATGAATCATCTGAAAATGAAATTAAGAAAACAATTCCATTCACAATACCATCAAAAAGAATAAAATATCGGGGCGCCTGGGTGGCTCAGTCAGTTAAGCGTTCGACTTTGGCTCAGGTCATGATCTCACAGTTCATGTGTTCAAGCCCCGCATCAGGCT